TTTAAATATTTTTTAAATATCTTATAAAAATAAATAAATTATTGTAACAACTCACTTAATAAAAACCCGCTTTAGAGTCTTTTAGAATATGAATTTAAGAAAATTTTTGGTTCTAAACTTTGATAAAAAATTTTATCTTCGAATATGAGTAATAAATAGTTAGATAAAAATAAGAAATCATAATTAAATAATTATGGAAGCTATAACATCAATATAAGTTAAAAAACACGCTTTATTTAAATTTATAATAGTTGTAATCCTAGTTTTATATAAAAATCTTTTTGTCTAAAAAACATTTATTTGTTACTTTTTTAAAATCAATAAAAGATATGATTGATGATCAAGAAACATATATTTAAGATTGATGATAATGAGATTGGGTTTTACATCAAAATAATGAGATAGATCCATATGAATATTTTGCGTATATAAATTAGTTTCTAAATCCTCTGTTAGTTTTGGTATTATTATTTAACATTATAAATATACAGAGATGGTTAATATAATTAATAAAATTTTATATAAGGAGATTTTATAGATAATTTTAACATAAAAAGTTTGGGTTTACACCCTTTAGTGATTTTGGCAAACATCGTTGTCGTAACTTTGAATGTTATTTACAAACGATTAGATGTTTTATAATTAAACTATTTCCACTAAAAAATATTTTAACTTATGAAGTTGAATAACAAACTAAATAGATAGGATGATGATAGATCAAGTGATAATAAGGATATAAACCAGGATATGAGTAGTTGTGACAGATTAAATAAAATTCTTTATACATCCTCTACTGATTTCGGCAATCGTAATTCTTTGTTTAAGATTGTGTTGATTGCGTTTTGTTATTTTATTGATGATTCAATTAAATATTTTAGTTTGTTATTTATTTGAAAAAAAATAATTTAATCCATCTAAAACAAGACTTACAATAAACTAATTTAAATATAAATTTTGAGATCAACACATTGTAATTCAGCTTTTAATAAACTTGTTCTATAATATTTTCTAATTATCAAATAATATTCTTTTTAGTTTAACAAAATCGATAAAGCATGTATTTTTTAATATTATTAATTAAATACAATATAATCTTTTTGAACTTTATTTTCTAGATAGATCTTTATACTGATATTTTTTTTAGTACAATAAAATTTATTATAAGGTGTTTCTAATTTTTTCTACAAAAGATTTATTGATGATATTTTTAAACCTTAATATATTAAATATAAACAACGTAACATTCTTTTTTATTTAAAAAGGTTTTTTAGTGAAAAATTTATCTCTATATAATAAAAATATATTATAATAAGAAGTATTTTTTATTAAAATATTGTTAAAAACATGAAAAATGTATTGATTGGTAAGAAATTGTGTAATTATACTTTTTGATAGTCAATATTTTTTTAAAAATGATAAAATTGTGGTGATTAATAAAAATTTACATTAAAATTTAATACTATTAATAAACTAACTAAGATACAGTATTGTTTTAAAAAGTGTATACAAGTAAGAAAATAAAAAATATAAGCTTTTAAGAAACATCACGAATTTTTTTGAGAATAAATGAAATAAAGACAGGTATAGAGTTAAATTATAAAAGTTAATTTGAAAAATTATACTTTTAAAAAAACATTTAAAAATTATACTTTAAAAAATAAACCAAAAAACGATATGACTTATCTCATGAGATTGATAATCAAATAAATATATCACATTGATTAGGTATTAGTAATTTGAAAACCTTTTTTTAAATAAAAAGAAAAAAAATTATTAATGAATTACCATGAACTAAATATAAAGGTTATTTAAAATATAGTTTATAAAATTTAAAGCGATCATACAACTAACAACCACGCAAAACAAGACATTTTGGCACCAAAGTTATAAACTCTAAGGGTGGGTATTACTAAGCATAATACATCTAAGATTAAACATAAAAAGGTTTTATCCAAGTTTTTTTATAATTAGTTCAAACAATCCGAATAGAGAAAAAAATACTGTAAATCAATTTATTAAATTCAGAAGTAAAATACTTAGATTTTATAAAAAATATTTGAGAATAAAAAGCTTAATATAACTTTTTCTTAAAAGATTTATGAATTGAAAAGTAATTTTTAAACATTTACAACTAAGTAGTGAGTGAACAGAAATTAAAGTAGTTTTTTTATGAGAAAATTCATAATACCGGTGATATATAAAATAATTGCAAGTAAATACATATAATGCTTAATCGTTAAAAGATTCTGTTTTTCTTAAGAATCATTATTTTACACATAGAAATAGCCTTGAAACACTTAATAATACCAAAAATGTCTCTAACCTGATATTAAAAGGATTTAAACACTGTTATAAACACTTGCAACACGTGTTTAGATAAAAAACACTAAATACTTGATAGAAAAAAACCTTGATATGTTCTACAAAGGATTATTGAACTACCAAAAAAAAGTAATTCGAGCAGAATTCCGTAGATTTGTTAAAAGTTGTTAAAATTATAGAATGTGTATCTCTTCTAAAAATGTTGTTAGTGAAAAAGATAGAGATAATAAGTCATATGATAACCAAAATAACAACGGTGGTAATAATAAGATAAATGACAGACTCTATTATAAACACTACAAATCAAAAACAGGCACTCTTTTAATTGGAACCGAAAGAAAAAATTAATTAATTTGAATTGATCGGCGCCCATAACTTTTTATTAAAAAAAATAATTGTTTAATACATAGTAGTAAACTTTTAGAAGAATCATATAAGATAATACTTTTTCAACCTTCTTTGAATTAAATATTGTTAAAAAATTTATGGTGAAAGGTAAGGCAGACTTTGTGATAGTTCAAGATTCTTTATAAAACTAGAAAAATAATTGATAATCACTTCTTTATCAGGTGCAAATTATGTCTTAAACAGTAAAGCTTTTTTAAATACTTTCTTTCGTTATGAAGAAAATACAATCCAAAAAGACTTCTTATTAATAGCTTATGGGAATAATAGATTTAACAATCACACTAACTACATTGATAATAGAGTTAACGAATTATGAGTTTTTTTGGTAAAACAGAGTTCCAGAAAAGCAAAGGTATTTGTTGTAGAGAAACGAGATAATGATGGTTTGTTACCACTGTTGTTTGAATATATAAAAATAAAGTTTATTATCTTAGATAGTTGGAAAGCTTATCATAGTTATTTAAGTTATCGTTTTAGTAGCTATAATGCGGTTAACCATAGTGAAACCTATATACCAAAAAACCAAGTATCATAATTACTTGATTAGGTGTATATTAAGTTAAACTAAGCTTAAATTATTTATAAATTGAGATAAATTAATATTTTTTTTACAAACACATTTGAGTTTTTTTGTTTATTTTACCGATATAAAAGATCGAAATTTGTAGAATTTATGAAATTATTATAAAAGAATTATTAATAAATTTGTCCTACCATGCGACTAAACAGTGTTTTAAATAGCGCTTGTTGGTGTTTATAACAAAATGTTCTTTGTAAACAATAATTTATTTATTTAATTTTTCCTTTATAATTCGAAAAAAGTGTTTTAAACTAGATTTTATGTTTAATATTACTAATTTATAATATTGTTTTTGGTTTTAAAGGGTACAAAGTTACAATCTGAAACAAACGATACCGTTATTTTAGAAAATACTATAAAAGAAAAATTAAAGTTTATAAAATATAGTTTGCTAAAAAATATTAATTATAGAGAGAATAATAATTTTAAGATTTATTATAAATTACATTATTTTTAATTTTAATAAATAAATCATATTAAATGTTTATTATATTTAAATTTATTAAATATAAAATAATGTACAAAAGCCATGAGTTATAATAATAATTCTAGTTTTTAAATTTCTTGGTCGATTCTCTTTTGAGATATAAATTATTTAATAAAAAAATTAAGAATCAAATTTGAAATAGAAGTGAACTTAAAAACAAGAATAGTTATTATATTATAATATTCCACCCTAAAATGTGACTTGTAGTCACGTATTAGGTGAAGTAAGACTTGTTAAATGTTATTAACGTATTGTTTAAAGTTGTCAAGTTATTAATTAGTTAATTCATTAAATATAATACTAAGT